CGAGCCGGTATAATTTTCGATGGCGTCAATACCATGAGTGGCAGGTGGCTGAATTTTACGGAGACTTGCCGCGTTCTCCAACCCTCCTCCTTTTTCATCCGGGCTTGGGACCGGCAATTTCGGAGATTTACTGAATAAGTATTAAATGTGGAATTAAGTAGGAAACTAAATCGGTGAGTTGTTTAATAAGGATGGCAGTAAGCAGTTGAGGAATTAAATATTTCTGTTATAAATTTAATATTTAAGGCTAACAACGAATAATCAGTATCAGGGAAAAATGAGTGTTGTTTATGACGTCAGGCAGTGCATGCTTAACGATGTCTGTTAGTAAAATGGCGCACTAACTAAATGAATGTTTGTATGTTGAGAAAAGGCGGTACGGTTTTGCATGTTTAATGTCGTTTTCAAAATTTTTATCCTAAGACATATTTTCGTAATTACCAATCATCTTTTTCAGTCTATTGCCAGGTGAATGAATATCTCACTGGGAGAATTTTTACTTTCAATCTTCATTGCAGAATCTTATGCTTCATCCATCTGTACTAGTCTACTCTCTTAGCGACCTCTTCTTTTAATCTCGTTTTTGGTTTCCTGTTTGAATTCACCATATTTTCTGAGGTGTGATGCAAATCATTTCTGTTATGGTACGTGTGTTTTAGTGGTGTTGTTTAGTCTCGGTCGTTACAATGTTTAATTTGCTGACTACTATTTTTGCTTAGGGTCGATTCACGATGGCGGCTAAGCATCACCTTTCCATAGCTGAATTATATGAGTCGGAATGTGTGGACGTTGAAAAATGCGTCCAGCACTACGAGAAAGCCGCCGACTACTACAAGGGCGAGGAGTCGAAAAGGCAAGACATTCTTTATCTCTGCGGCATTCTCCGTAACGCGTTCCTGATTTTAGCTCAGCCAACAAATGCCTGCTGAAGGTGGCGCAGTACGCGGCTCAGATGGAGCAGTACAAGAAGGCAATAGAAATCTATGAGGAAGTAAGTCTGAGACGTGACCTAACCGGTGACGTGTGCTTTGCTTGCGACGAATTGACCGTCAACTCTTAAGGTTGGTACGTCGTCGGCGGACAACACCTTGCTGAAGTACAGTGCAAAGGACTACTTCTTTAAGGCGGCTCTGTGCCATTTGTGTTTAGACTTGCTTGACGCCCAGGTAGGATTCTCTTTTGATCATGATTGATAGTTTTTGTGTAACGCTGTCGATTCTGACAGCTAAAAAGGAATGTAGTACATTTGTTATCAAGAGGCGTGCATTAAGACAGCGTACGAACAATTTTAAGAAACAGGATAGTTCAAATAAC